GTTGTACCACATTTAATATATAGATTTTCTCATTTAACCAGAACTTTTTTAAAAAAAATTTTTAATGTGTTTGATTTTCAACAGATGAAAAAAATACATTTGGAAACTTGAGTTCTGATTGACCCAGCTCTGTCAATAAATTTGTTGAAATATTTTTTGTCAGTTGAAAATTATTGCTTTCAGAGAAAAAATTTCAGTTAAAATGAAATTTATGGAGTTTCAAGTTTTACAAGTCACAAGTTACAAGTTGGTTTTGTAAATTTTTTTTCTTAAATGTATTTGTTATTAAAACTTCAAAAGCTGAACCATAGTCAACTGGTTATAAATCCTATATTCTTTCCTCTGAAGGTGACTCCAGTTGTGCCTCTGTCTAATGATTCATGGTCCATGTCATTTGCCAAATATCTGGAGCTTCGTTTCTACGGCCACCAGTACACCAGACGGGCCAACGCAGAGCCCTGTGGACACTCTATTCATAAAGACTARCATCAGTATTTCTCCTACAACCAGATGGTGGCTTCCTTCAGGTTAGTTCTTCTGTTTTCTTGCCTGACTCTTAACTAAAGCAGAGAATGTGAAAATTGTGCCACATGTCCATCTTCAGTAAAAGAGTACAACATATCCTCCTTTTTTCAGCTACACATCTGTAAGGCTGTTAGAGATTTGTCTTCCTCGTCCCAAGATCTTCATCAGGAACCTGGGGCCTTCCAAAGCCAACCTGCAGCTGGACCTGAAGGACTTCTCTCAGAAGTAAATCAAAACCAGTCACACGTCCCAATGTTCCAATTTATGAGAAATGGTATTGTGTCTGTGTTGCCAACTTAGTTTATCTTTTTCTTCTTTCAAAATGATAGAGATTATTTCTTGCCTCCATTAGGAGGGACATTTCTCTTTTCCATTATCCAATCAAAGGTTTTCAACAAGATGGGGGTCAAATAATCTTGCATTATTTTGTACAATTCTGGGCCTAATCCATCTGCTCTGTCTCTTTATTGTTCAGTGAATTCTTTCTTTACTTATTTTGGATTATAACATGTTTTGTTTTTGAACAATTCAGACAAGAAAATATTGACATCCTGATTATTATCTACAAGGGGTTGAGAATATAGTGTTCTGTAATAATTCTGAAAGCATTGCTGCATATTCTATTGTGGTTTCTATTTGACCATTTAAAGGTTCTTTATCTTGTTGCTTCCTAAGTTTATAAGAAATACATTTTAGTGATTTTCCCCATATTTCACAGTGCACTTGTTTAGTAAAAAGCATTACTGTTGAACCTTGTGTTGTGCATGTAAACAGCTATTTGGTAGTAGTAACAGCATGGCGAGTGGATGTAGCTTCGTGTGGACCGACGATGAGGTAAACTTGTTGCTTAATGTAACATTAAACTATAAAGCAGTGAAAACACAGGATCATGTGGACTGGGAGTCTTTCCAGTCCAAGTACGCTGATATTTTTGCCACCTTTGTCGAACAATATCCTCTTCCCTATCCTATCCTAACCATTACCGATGAGGGTGGTGTCGTCRGCAAATTTAATAAGTTTTACAGAGTCTTGGCTGGAGATGCAACAGTTAGTGTAGCTCAGTGGTTCCCAAAGTGTGGGGCGCGCCCCCTAGAGGGCCCCAGTGCCATTGAAGGTGGGGCGCAGCTTGACTGAATGGAGGGGAGGTGGAGGGGGGAATGCTCGGACATTGTTAGCATAATTGATTTGATTTGATTTGATTTATTTATTTAATAGGAAAAGATTATTAAAAATCAAGCCTGACTCAGCATAATTGCTGTTTTACAGCAGGTTCCTGTTCTGCCCCAGGGCTGCTGTGGCTACAATGTAGCTTACTGCCATCGGTGTGTGAATGTGAGTG